GGAATGCAAGGCCGGTCTCCTCGGCCACTAGAGGGCGCAGTCTGACTAGCGCACATAGCCCTCTCCCGGGAGAATCCCCCAGCCAGCCAAGGGAACTCATACTTTCCCTCTCAGCCCCAGGGTGCACAAGGAACGGCAGCCCTAGCCCCAAAGCCGAAGAATGATATTTCCCTGGCATACAGTAAGCAAAGTAGTTACTCTTAATCCCTTCCAGCCTCTGCAAGTAGATGGACAGGGCGCCAGAGGACTGCAGCTGAGAAGGGGTGCCAGGTCACACTTGCAAAGACCTGAGGTACTTACAATAAACACAAACAGGTTAGCATCCCAGGTCTCGGTGCTCCGAGGACTGGAGGTGGGGTGAGATGGGAACCCTCTCTTCTTCCCTCTCTCCGGGTGGGCCCTTCAGAGTTTTGATTCCCTTGCTGTCCTTTTAAACAGTCTACATGGAACTATTAAAGGAGAGTTGGCCTTGTCTACTAAGTTGCTCCATTCCAGCGCTGCCAAGCCAAGAGCTCTGTGAATGAGGCAGCCCCGAGGCCCTCCGGAGATCCAGTCAGGGGCTTCCTGATGAACTCTATCTACCCAAACAAGCCCGGCTGTGTGGGGGCAGAGGAGTGGCCACTTCACCTGGAAGGCCCTTTACTCTGCCATCCAAGGGTAAGACCCCCTCTGGAAATTATTTTAACCTTAACAGCAGTCATTTTAAAAGCATTAAGAGAAAGGAGTCAAGGCCAGTGGCAGGTAGGACTTTATGAAGTGCTTTTCATATCCATCCCCAGGACAGACTGTCATACAGGCAAACATTAACATCCTTGTTTTATAGTTGGGCAGACATAAGCTCAAAGCAGTTAAGTGACTTGCCCACAGTCACACAACCGGTACGCAAGGGGGCCGGGTTCCCCTGTGCACACAAGCACCTCCCCTTGGGAAGGGCAGGCAGAGACGCAGCACCGCCCGCAGAGAGGGCGGCTAGAAAGCACATTTCCGAAGTTCCCCTACCAGTTGAAGAAACCTGTCAGTTAAGAATCTAGTGGGAGAAATAGCAGAAAAGTGAAAAAGAACTTTTGCAGGCCCTTATACATTTACTCAATTAATTCTCACAACAGTCCTAATTAGTAGGTAAATTAACGCCATTTTACATGAGAGGAAAACAGTCTAAGAAACCTCTGTCCAAGAACACAAATACTAGGGTCAGAATTTGAACCCCGCAGAAGCCTGAGTGTTTTCCTTTACTTCGTGCTTGCCCCTGGTGGTGAGTGGGGGAGAAAGCACAGACGCCACCTTCGCGCCTGGCAAAAACAAGGAGAGGGAGAGTTTGGAATCCATTCAATAAATGTTGCTGAAGTAACACAGTATAGTAACACAATATAGACAAAACAGATAGCCCCCTATTGAGGGACAAACAGAAACATGGGAGGCATCATGATGAGCAGGGATTAGGTGGACAAAGGGAGTATGTGTCAGGGGTCAGGGGATGGAACAATGCGTTCCAAGGGTCAGAGAAGCAGGACTTCCTTCCCTTAAAACAATTCAGTCTGGCCAGGGGGTACTTAAGAAGGGAGTTATGAGGAATAACAATGGAGAGGTAAGCAGGGACCAGGTCTCAAAGGTTAACAGAAGACAAGAAAGGGTGTGACCCGTTAGGAAGCTACTAAGTAACCTCGGAAGATGTAAGGGGCCTAGGAGAGTAGTGACAGAGGGGATGTGTTCACTCACTCAACAGACATTTGAGCAATAGCAGGCATGAGGTACTATTCTTAGTGTTGAGGACACATCGGCAAACAAGATGAATTCTGTCTTTGTGGAGCTTACATTCTAGTCAGGGAGATAAATACATGGGTAATCTCAAGCATTGATAAATACACTGGAGGGAATAGACAGGACAGGATGTATTGGTTTGAAAGGGATACCATAACAAAATACTGCATATTGGTGGCTTAAACAACAGAAATGTATTCTAGAGGCTAGAAGTCCAAGTTCATGGTGTCAGTAGGGTTGGCTTCTTCTGAGATCTCTTTCCTTGGTTTATAGATGGACACTTCCTCCCTGTGACTTCACCAGGTCTTCCCTCTGCCGGTGTCCTCATCTCCTTTCTTTAAAGGACCCCAGTCACACTGGATTAGGGCCCATCCTTAAAAGGCTTACCTTTTTTTTACCTTAATTACCTCTTTAAAGGCCCTATCTCCAAATACAGTCACATCTGAGGTACTTCAACATATAAAGTTTGAGAGGATATAATTCAGCCATAACACAAGGTGACAGCATATAACTAAGGCTAGAGGTAGAGGGAGGGTAAGGGCCTCTCTGAGGTAACACTGAGCTGACGTCTGAATGAGGAGAGGGAGCTAACCATGCAAGGAGAGGCAGGGGCCTGTGCAAAGACCCTGAGGTGACAACATGACTCAGGGCTACTTGGCAGAGAAGAACAGTAAGGCTAAAGCAGCTGGCGTACAGTGAGAAGAGATAGGTAGAAAAGGCTGTCATAAAGTAGGAGGCCAGGGGAGAATTTTGAACAGAAGAGTGATATGATCTGACTTATGTTTTATAAGCAACATGTGTATTGAGAATAAATTAGGGGAAGGGGAGAAATTGGCAGAAACAGGGAGACTTTGCAATAATCCAGGTAAGAGATGATGTTGGAACTGAGCCTGCTCCAATGGAAGTCTTGAGAAGTGGTCAATTCTGGATATAGTTTGAAGAAAGATTCAAAAGGGCTTACTGATGGATTAGACGCAGGACATAAGAAAAGAGAGGAGTCAGTATAATTCCAAAGTTCTTGGCCCAAGCAACTGGACAAATGGTTTACCTAGATGGGGAAGCCTCCAGTAGAAATAGGTTTGAAGAGGCATGACAGTTGAGAGTTTACTGTGGACAATGGGAAGCTTAATATATATCAAATGTCTTAAATATCCATGTAGAGATGTTGTTGAGTAGACAGTTGGAAGTGAGACTAGAAAGATCCAGACTGAAGGTATAAATTTGAGAGACGCTGTGTTAATAGTATTTTAAACTATGGAACTGCTTGAGCTCACCTAGGGAGTGCAAGAGAAAAGGTCCAAGGACTAAACCCTGAGACACTCTGACATGTAGAGATTAGAAAGAGGTAGGTCCAGCAAAAACTGAGAATTTGAGAAGCTGGAGGAAAAACAAGAGAATATTTGTCATGGAAGCCAAATGAAGAAAACATCACAAGACTGCTGATGAGAAGCTGAGTAAGAAGACTGAAAACTGGCTACTGGATTTAGCACTCCGAGGTCATTGATGATTTTGAGGAGGGTTGTTTCCATGGAGTGGTAAGAGCGAATACCTAATCACAGCTGGCTCGAAGGAGAATGTGAAACAAAGAATGAGAAATGGCAAGTGTAAACAACTCTTCTGAGAGATTTTTCTGTAAAGGGTAAAGAAAAATAGCATAGTAGTTCAACAATGTGAAGAAAAGAATTTAAGATTGGAGATTTTACAGAAAATTTGTATGATAATGGGAATAATTGGTAGGAACAGAAATTAACAATGCAGAAAAAAGATTATTGTAGGAGTCAGTGCAAAGCCAGGGATTGGCCTTGGATGGGAGTAAGGATGGTTCATTCTTAGTATAACAGGAAGGTGGGCCTATGGCATCAATTCAACTGGGTTAGCAGATTTTGGGGCGGTAGCTGGTGGGGGTGGATATGAAAGTTTTCTTCTGATTGCTTTTACTTTCTTAGTGAAATAAGAAATATAGTAATCAGCAGAGTGAGGGAGGGGAGGGGATATTGAAGATCGAGGATGTAAAGATGTAATAGAGTCAAGAAATAAGCAAGCGGGATTGATAGGACTTGACTGATTGGACATACGAAAATGTGAGAGTACAGAAACAAGGATAGATCTCTGGTTTAGCAACCCAGTGGATGGTGACAGTGCCTTTCTGTCATACAGGGAAACCTGTGGGAGGAACAGGTCTGGGAGGAGAAAGGTTTGATTTTGACATGGAAATTTTGACATGGATGTCTATGGGACATCCAAGTGGACATGAGTGTCTGAGCTCAGAATAAAAAACCTGAGCTAAAGAAATAAATCTGAGAGTTGTCAATATAAAGATGTCAGGAAGTTGAGAGGTTTCTGTGAAAGCTGTTTTCTCTGAGAGGCAAAGAAATTGGTGTTTGAGATTGGAACAAGTTTGAAATAGCTTCTGGGGAAGAATGAGAAAATGGATGAGGAAATAGAGGGTCATCAGGTACGCTGGGGCACCCAGTTAATGGCAGAGCTCTTATGGTGGCAGTGGTTTCCTGCACCAGCTTTGCTCCTGGAGCCGCAGCCACCAGAAGTTTCCTGCATTCTCCAGCTGGGTCTCCACAGCAACGGTCCTTCTCACCACCCAGCAGTGTCCCTTTACCTGTTACCTACATAAGACACTCTTTCCTTCTTGCTTATCTGGTTAAGCCCTACTCACCTGTCTCTACTCAGATCAGGACAGAATCTCCATAGAAACCTTTCTTAACTGCTCCCCCAAGCCCCTGCCAGCTGGAGCTACAGGTTTTTACTCTGCATCCCAATGTCCCCTAATATACTTTATTGAAGAACATACTGCATGTAGTCACTGATTTATTGATCTGCCTCTCCCACTGGTCTGAAACAATTTGAGGGCAGAACCTCTTCACCTTTATAAAGCCCACTACTTAGTAGATGCTCAATAAATGTTTATGAAATGAAGGTAAGGTAGGAAAAAAGCACTGAAGTACAAAACGAATACATGGACCCTGCAGGATGTCCCCAGCCTGTCACAGGCAAATGCTTCTGGGCATGGAAATCAAGCCACAAAATCAGAAATATCCCATTGGTCTCAACATTACAGCCCCTGTACTTTTAAGGAAAGACCTTAACATACATACAGGAAGGAAATGCCCTTGTCTTACATTAAAAAATATTAACCCTCGTTCTTGCCTTCCCCAAATAAAATAACCAAAGGCATTGTGTAAAGGCATTTTACTTAAAAACCAACACATCCTGCTTGTATGAATCAGTCACTCTCCATTTCCAAGTTCCATCATCTGCGCTTGAGAGCAGAGGGTGTGGTATTTTTCTGGGTTTAAGGTATAAACTGACATGGCATTCAAGAACTTGTCCAGTGGACAGAGTGGGTCAGGGCAACCTCTCAGCACTTGCTCCTGCAGAAGAGACATAACTCAGCAGGGCCACTGAGGATCCCGCCCTGCTGCTTCCACTGGTGCCCAGGGGTCAGAGAGGCTTTGACCCAGTGGGATGTGCATGCACACATACAATGGCCAGCAAGGCCCGTTACCTGGTCAATTCCCAGAATAAGAGCATTATGCCCTGCTTTTAAGTCTCTCAAGAACTGTCTGCTGAATTGACGGGAGAGACAGTTACATGCCACCTCTGAGCTGGTAGGGCTAAAGGCCTAAGCCCTGGGGAGCACTCTGGCCTCTGCCCTGGGCAGCAGCCTGCAAAAGCAGCCAAGGCACCACTAGGGTGGTGGCACATGTCACCTCCCAAAGATACCGTCATTGATTTTCAAGACAGGCCTCAGTCAGGATGTGACAGCCTAGGCAGGACATACAAGAGAAGAGAGGGGTCCTGCTCCCAGAAAGACTCCCCAACAGAATCGGGAAAAGGCTCAAGTGCCAGCCTGTCATTCCATGCCAAGTTCTGCTTACCCCTTGGCCACAGCTGTGAGCCACCCTATGGGATTCAGGGAGCTGACTGTACCAGCAGAGACCCCCCAGGCCCAAGGAGGGAGCCCAGGTGGGTGGGGTTGAAGGGAGGGTGCCGAGATACCACCCAGTCCCACCACAGAGGCCTTACCTCCCCGTGGTAATAGAGCTGCACAAACCACTCCTTAGATTCCTGGTGCTGGTAGAGTTCCAGGGTCAGGTCAGCAGCAAACGGGGACCATTTGTGATCAAAAATCCCGAGAACCATTAAGAGGCATGAGGGTCACATCATGAGCAGCACAGAGATATAGCTTTCTGCAAGGAAGAAACAGTTCCCCACAATTCTTTCCCTCAGGATCTGGAGGCCAGGACACTGCCTGCCTCCTCTGAGTAAGGAATAACTCTTGTGTCAGAAACCAGATGACCTGTAGGCATAAATTGAGCCTGGTATAAAACTCCTCTGAAGTAGGTGGTGGAGAAGACCCTTACTCCCATTCCCCATGCTTTCATGAGGAGGGATAGCTCCAGTGGGGTAGCTCTCCTGGCCTCTTCCTGCCCACCCACTTGCCCACCCACCCACTCACTCCTACCTTGCTGAATTTTGAAGAAGAAACTGAGTGTGTGGCTCAGCCCTACCTCTCTTCTTTCTTTGGGGCCTGCCTGCCTATGGCAAATGTTTTCCCTACTCTCAGTCATGTGATGAGTTTAGTAGAACAAGCCCTCCTCCCTGTTGGGGGAGCTTGCAGTTTAGGGGAATTAAGTTCATTTCAAAGGAACATTAATAAGCCTGTTTGGCCCTGAACACATTCTCCAAAAGGCTTTAATCAGTAAAAAAAAGATGCCATTTTAATCTATATCTGCCTGACCCCTGTATCTATCTCTTGGGAAAGATCAAGGATTTTATTTGTTGACTCCCCAACTAGAAGACTAACACTGGCTCCTGCAGTATTCTAACAGATACAAGGCCAAGGGAGGCAGGACGGCAAAGGCCAGTGAGAAACGCATTGTGATTGCATCGTGAAGGACAGAGAAGGGCACTGGCATGACTTGCTGTTATAAATCTGGCTCAGAGTTCCTGAACGTTCCCATTTCAACTCACTGTGCTCTACCTTTCCCACACTCATAAGGAGTTTCTAGCTGTGTACAAGCTCTGTCTTTTAAGAAGGCAGCCTACCACAGTGCTTCTCCAGTAGCAGGGCTCTTGTGAAAAAGCAGATTCTGATTTAGTACATCAGGCAGGAGCCTGAGAATCTAACAAGCTTCCAGATGATTGTGAAGCAGTTCACCTGCAAACCATACTTTGCTTAGCAAGTACCTAGGGCTCATAACATGTCAATTCACGGTCCCTAACCTGGGTTTTGAGGCACTGCAAAAGTAGCAGTGGAGTTTCATGAGCTACTTCCAACTTTTAAAAATGCCTTGTGGATATTATAGTGGATACACTGTGAAGGTGTTCAAACTAAACCACCTATTAAACAATTTTCTTAGTTTGGGGTTGTTATCTAATCAGTGTGATATCATTAATTAGCTACTCTGTTTGACACAGTTTGGATCAGTAAAAATATGGAAAAGTAAATTTAGGGTTATTTTTCACTAAATAAAAATTTCAAAACATGGTAGGATGGGTATAGCAGGAAGAAAGGTAAAAATGTGAATGTCTGTGGGACCCGTGGCCTCTTAGACATCTGTCTTCAGTCACTCTACAGTCTGATCCTTGACCCTCTAAAACCTGAATTCCCACCCCACAGCCAGCAGCCCCCAATTGCCCTCAGTTTCACAGAGCCAAAAGGCCATGCCAGGTCCCTGGTCTTGCTGGGTGGGATGGCAGGGTCCACGACTTTCAGCGGGTTGTCCTCCAGGATGTGGAGGAAGGGGCCCACTGCCATCTGAAGACTTTCTCTATGGCAAGCAAATAACATTAAAGTACCCAGCAGGCACTCAGCACACGGGATGCATGCTGGTTCTGCCCCCCAGGACCTCATGAGCCCAATCAGACAGAGCTGAGAAAAATAGATAAGGAACACATGAGGGACAGCAACAGGCAGAAAGGAGAGAAAGTCTGCGGGCTCTCCGTGCACAGAAGTTTCCAACAACACAAGTACCAGGATACAGACATGGCATGAACACAGCTGAGATGGTAGGGGCTTAGGGAGTAGTATCCAGCCTAAGTCATGAAGAATTAGGCCCTTAGGAATAAAAGAACAAAGCTGGAAAGGACAGGGGATAATGATTTCCAGAATTCAGAAGGCCCTTAGAAAGGTGATCTGAAGGAATAGCATCCTAAAAACTATGCTTCCCAGGTGCCAGCCCTCCTTCTTTGGAGTTTAGACCATAAGGACATTTCTTATATGTTTGATTTAACAAGCAGTTTGGCAGTGCTGCTCGCAGGGTTGGTGCTGAGGCTCCACCACTTCTATTCTCAGGCTCATCACCTCATGGTCAAGAGGCGCCTCTCCAACTCAGAGTGGGTCATCTCGCGGTAGTGAACGAAGCAGGAAGAGGGGGGCCAATAGGAGCAAAAAAAGCTCGGTTTTGGTGCCTCACACTTGTTACCAAATAGAAAAAACACCTCTCCCAGAATTCCCAGAACCCAATCTCTGACAAAAGGGAATGTGGTTGCCATGATTGGTTTGAATCAGTCCTTACTCATGGTGACTGGGTAAATGACCACCTTTACAAATCAAGAATGTTGAAGCATGAGGAATAGGCAACCAATACCATATGCAACATACACTTTCCACAAGAATGTGTGCAGGCCAAGCCAAGTTGGAGGGCACTGTGAGGTTGTAACATCTGTCCTTGAACATCAGTTTTATGAAACCAGGGCTAATTGGAATGGAAAGGTGAATGGATTAAATCTTGTTTAAAATGCTTTACACCAGGAGAAAACAAACTATGGCCATTGGCTAAATCCAACCCAGCTGCCTGTTTTTATAAATAAAGTTTTAGTGGAACACAGCTGTGCTCATTTGTTGTCATGTTATATGGGCAGAGATGAGTAGTTCCAACAGATAATGCATGAGCTGCAAAGCCTAAAATATTTACTGTTTGTGTGTGTGTGTGTGTGTGTGTGTGTAGGGGATGGCAGTGTGTGATTATTCAGTTCTAGGGGGATCACTTCAGGAACAGAGGAGGGAAAGTGGCAGGTCACAGAGAGTGGCAGCAAGCTGAGCAGCATGGCTGGAGCCTTCCGGAAGTCCTAGGCAGGTGCACAGGTGGACACATGGACTCCAAGTGGGAGAAAAGCAGTCAGAGGCTCTTATTTTTATGCAACAGACCATGCAAATTCTTGGAATGTCAGCTGCTTTCTCCTCCCACTCACCTTCCCCAGGACTGTTCCTCTATTTTGCATCTCCTCCTCTTCCAGGTCACCTATTTGAGTCCAAGCAAAATGTTCTTAACCAATTAGAAAAAGGTATTTTTTGAAATTTGGTAAGAGAGAACCTCTCCAACTTGGCAGTCAGGAAACAGGCCTTCTAAAAACAGAGCCCAAAGTACCAGTAATAGAGGAAATAATATGAAATTGGTTGTCAAAAGATCTGGGTTTAAGTCCTGGCTCTGCCACCTGCTCGCTGAGCCTCAGCAATGTAGCCCACATCTCCCAGGCCCAGTTTCTTCATCTATAAAGCCAAGATTTGGAGCCTGTCAGGGATAATAATACCCACCTCGTAGCAAGAACGGGAAAATGACTTATGAATTGTAATGCGATAAATAAAGTGAGCATAACTCTTCTTCCTTTAGCTCCCCCTACCCAAATCCTTTGAAACTTAAAGGAAAAGGAAAAAGTCAGTGATTAGCAGAAGCCCGGTTGACTGGTAACTCCTGGTTTCATGTAGCAGTGAACAGAAGCACTAGGTCACCAGTCTCAGCTCCAGGAGTATAAGGACCCAGGGCCGAGTCCACACAGCAGGCCAGCAGAATGGGGTGACTTCAGCCTCTGCACACATACAGATGCCAGCTGTCCGCTGTGAGGGGGCCTGAGGAGCCCACTTCCCCGCACACTGGGAGGCCTGCCCAAGCATGACTTTATGCCAGCTGCCAAAGAGGCCCCTCACCTGCCTTCCTTTGGCTGGATGTACAAGGCTGTGTCCACAGCTCTCTGTTCAATCACCCGTGCAAATCTGTTCAGTGCCGGGCAGCTCAGGAGGCTGTGCACCTAAAAGGGCCACAGGTACTGTCACAGAAGGAAATGCTCCTCATTCAATGAGACTGGCAGCTGCTCGGCTTCCATGGAGCCTTCAGAAGCCCATCTTTTTCTGGGGAGGGCCTTAACATCTCAAAGAGCTACATCCATAAGGCCCTTTTAAAGCTATTCCTAAAGATGTGAAGGCCCAGAAAAAAAACTGTGTTTTCCCCTTTCTCATGGCTCCCCATCCACTCCCAAAAGATAACATTTGTATTTTTTTTAACTGTTTAAAAAAGATGAATAAAATACAAGTTAAGGAATTCATACATTTATACTTGGCCTCCATTTTCCCCAAAATGATTTCCAAAAAGTATGCCATATGAATATAAATTCTTGTCCTATTTTACACATAGCATAAGGGTTACCCTGTCATCATCACAAGAGAAGGAAGGGGAATCCAGGCTATACTGTACCTTTTGAATCTCACTGTTGTCAGTGTCTGACTTTTGAATCTAGAGAGGCATTTCCCACGGTGGGGTCTTCAGTATTTATTAGATAAAAAAGATTCCATGGCTAAATAAGTTTGAGGAAAACAGATTTAAAGATTAACCAGCTTTCTCTAATGTAGGCTTCTCAGATTCTTTAGTATGTTGCTGTGCATACAGACTATCTGAAAAGTGATACAATTAACAGGGGTTACAAAATTTTAGGGGTTACAAAACAACCCCTCCCTACCCATTATCCACTCCACCTCTCCCAGTCCATATTGCACACACTCACATCACGGGTATTCTGGGGAACAAGCTTCAAGAAACTCTGATCTAGAGTTCAGTGTCTGGCTCCTGAATGAGGAGACCTCTTTGATGGTTTCCTACCCCTCAGTTCCCACATCCATTCCAGTGCAAGGCCTCCCACAGCAGCCTCCAACCAGGAGGCCACACCCAGTTGTCTCCACCCTGTGCTAACTCAGGAGCCAGCACAGCAGATGTCTCCCCCAAGAGCCCCTACCCCCAGGGCCCGAGTATAGCCATCCCACCTGCTCAGCAGCCACACTGTCAAAGAGGATAAGGAAGTCTACTTCATCATTACCGGCAATACCTATCCCTTCCTTCACCTTTTTCAAATCCTCTGAGATTCTTGGCTGCAAAGAGGCAGCCTTCCTCTGGTGTCTGCCAAAAAAGGAAAGCAATCCCTTATAGTGGATAGCAATTACCAGTTTGCTAAGTATATCTCATTCATCACTTGGGGTCTCACTTAATCCTCAAAAACTCATTGGGGTTAACTGGTATCATACCCATTTTACAGATAAGTAAATGAAGGTGCTATGAAGTCAAATGACTTGTAAAAGTAAGTTAACAAGTACCAAGGCTGCAATAAAAGCCTGGATTTTCCAAATCCTAGTCTGGCATTTTCTTCTATTATACTAAAACCAATGCAAGCATACCCCAGGTCTGCTTGAAAATACTATTCTCTTTCTTCTGTGGAACACTGACTATCATGTCTTAGCATAGCCCAGAAATACTACCCTCAGCCCAAACCAATCCCCCCTATAGGACAGCACATAGGTAAAAGAAGGAAATACTATGTCTAGAATCTTCTGCTTGCCCATATGGATTTGCAGTTTAATCACAGGCTTAATCATCTTTAACTTGTCAGTTTGTTCATCTGACCCATCTGCAAGGCCAAGATTGTTGAAAGTACACTTTGTAAATGACAATGCCCCACCCGTGTCTGTATAGACCATCTCTCCATCCCTGCATGTGGCTTTTCCCTGACTTCCTGCATCTTCACTTTGAACCTGCCACTGTGAGCAAGAGCTTCTTCACTTCCTGGGCAGCAATGTCAGACCTGAGTGTACTGCAAACTCTCACATCCTTTATCCACCAGCATGGTAAGCTTGCTCAGGCCCTGAGTTCAGGCAGAGCCCTGCCAGCGAAAGTGGTAAAAGGCTCTCTGTCCCTTGCTGGTGAGCAAGAACACAAGGCAGTCACCTGGTTCTTTTCCACAGGTTCTGGCAGTTTTGGTAGTTGGGGTATAAGACTTCAGGGCTTGCTTCATCAGTATGGATGACAATGGATCCTGGAAGGAAGACGGGAGCAGAGGTGGGAAGAGGCATCAGCTTGTTTTTCCCAGCATCTCCAACCCTTCCTCTTCTCTTTATCTGCTCCAAAGGCAGATCATTGGGGTCAAATTAAGGACAGTGAATGCCTTCCACATTCCCTGGCATTGCCAAGAGGAGCTCTCTTATGGTCTGACAGATGGAGGAAGCAGGCAGCAGCCTTGTTCTGTCACAAGCACAACCCCTTCTACTGGGCCACATATAGACTAGAATAGGTGTAGACCTAGATCAGACTGGCACTTCCCTGACTGATTCCAATATGTCCCTGCCTCAAGGGACTACTGGCACTTGGGAGTTCCAAAAGAAGGGCCCATCCCTGACTTTACCAGAAGCAGATGATTTTCTTACTTCCTGAAGTCCAATCCTATAGACCAATATGGTGACTCATCCCTTGCCAGTCTAAGCAAGATAACCACAAGGCCACGCATCCTCAGACCCCACAGCCGTACCCAAAATGAAAGGCAGACTTCCAGATGAGCTGTCAGGAACCAAAGATTAGACTACAAACAATGTTTATTATGTATCTCACAGAAGTTTGTGACTGCTCACAATCCATAGTAACTTTGTCCTCTTCCATCAATACTCAAAGAAGGCTCTATAAGAACTTCACATGCTTTGCTCTGTGACAGAGATGGCAAGGGCCTGTGGCAGCTTCCCTTTCTGCATAGTTCAAGCCTAACCTTTTCTTATGGTAAGAGAAATAGCTCCTATTAGCAGCTCTTTGGAATTCGCTGAGGTCAGTCTGTGGACTGATTAGGTGAATCTAAGTCCCAAAGAGCTATATTACTCTCAAATAAATTATTGATAGTCAAAAGTCCAGTAGCATATGGTAACTTTTCTAGAATATCAGAATTCTGACACATTTCATTGGTCAAATGATCAGAGGTTCCTTCTCCTCCAGATACATATGTTCTCTGAGAAGTTGTACAGCATAAAGGTAAAGAGTATGGATTCTGAAATCAGACTGTGAGGGTTTGAATTCCATCATTTGCCAGCTTTGTGCCCCTGGGGAAGTTATTTAGCTTCTGTGCCTCAGTTCTCTTACCTGTAAGTTGGGGATAATGTTACCTACCTCACAGAGTTATCATGAGAATTAAACAAGTTAATATATGCAAATATATTTTGGTCCTTGGTAAGTCCTTTAAATGTTAGAACAATAATAACTATGATTTAAACCTTTAATATAACACATAACTCCTATCTGGTGTCTGATACTGGTGTCTGGATATTGGCCCTACAGTTCATGATAAATAAACCACGTGTGAGTTGTCACTCAAATATATGTTGAAAGACTGACCAAATGGTACAGACCAACAACTTCCTGCCCCATCCCCACCCCCGGCCAGCCTGATTCTCTGTAGCTCACACATAACCCTCTGTTACTTCTCTAGGATTTTACTCCTAAAACAACATCCCAAGTTGTGTCACTCCCATGAATGGCAGCACCTTTGGTGGTTATTTGGTCTATTCCAGTTCCCCTGATACTGGGCAAGGTATGGAAGTGGTTCTTTCTGACCACTAGGCACTGGAGTCCTATTATGTCTGGGTCCTGTGCAGGCAGATGTTAGCCAGGCAGCCAGCCAAGGGCTGGTCATGATACCACTTCCTTCTGGCTGGAAATCTGGGGCAGCCTCAGTCTGAGACCTGCCTGCAGATCAGGCTGCCATCAAGAAACAGCTTTCATACTTCAGTTGTACTATTAGTATTCTGAGAAGAGGATATTTGCCTTTCAGAAACTGAGCAAGTGAAGAACTTTCAGAATGTCAGGCATTGTGGATTACTGCTAAATGCAGGGACTCCCAAGAAGTGAAGCACAACCCATCCTGTGTGCTATGTGTAATATAAACACACACTGTTTATGCTCAGCACCTGGCTTTAGCCAGAATTAGCAGCATTATCCAAGATGGTGGCATAAGTAGGGCAGTGGAAATTTCCTCCCAAAACCATATATATTTTTGAAAATACAACAAATACAACTACACCTAAAAGAGAGACCAGAGGATACAGTACAACAGCCAGGCTACATCTACATCTGCAAGAACTCAGCATCTAATAAAGGGCGTAAGATATGAGCTATGATCCAGCAGGACCCGAGTGCTCCCCGCACCCCAGCTCTCCGGTGGGAGGAAAGGAGTCAGAGCGGGTAGGGAGTGGAAGCACAGGACCGCTAAATAACCAGCCGTAGCAATCCTCACTGGGAGTGCAGACATTCATTGCATGGTGTGCTGGATATTAGGGAAAAGGAAAAGGAAAATCTGTGAGAGGGTCCCCACAGTCAGCTCCTCTGGGACAAAAGAAAAGCAACTGCTTTTTGAAAGTCTTAAAGGGGCAGGGGCTTCACAGCTGGATGGAATCGTCCCAGCACACTCAGCCCAGCAGGCTGGGAATTCTGATGAGCTTCGGGCATCCCAGCCCCCTGGGAGGCAGCACAGCTCTGAAGACCCTCATGGCAATAAGCAGCCTGCTGCCAGTCCCCTGGGATGGCCAAAGCAGCTGCCCAGAGTCTCTTCCCAGCACGCAGCTGCTCAGGCCAGACCCAGGGACTGCCACTGGAGCACAGCTGCCCAGCACAGGTGGAGGAAGCCTGGACAAGGTGTGAAGAAGTGCTGTTCTTGCAGGAGAGCACACCTGGCATCCCTGCAACTCCCCACAGGGCTCTGGGCTACCCTGAGGACTGCTCCTGGTGTGCAGGTAACCAACACAGGCAGCAGAGAGGGGCAGGGTGACCAGCAAGGATAAGGGACTTTGTTTTTCCAGCTGACACATGTGCCACCTGCCTACAACTACCTCTATTGCCATGAAAGGGCAGAAGAATTGGTTCAGTCCAGAATTACCCAGACAACCCCAGAGAGAGGGCTTGAGGAGACAGATATAACCAATATTCCTGAAAAAGAATTCAAAATAAAGGTCATAACCATGCTGATGGACCTGCAGAGAAATATGAAAGAGCTAAAGGATCAAGTTAGGAGGGAGAACACAGAATAAAACAATCTCTGGAAGGACTTAAGAGTGGACTGGATGAGGTGCAAGAGACCGTTAATGAAAAAGGAATCAGAGAAAAGGAACACAGAGAAGCTGATGCAGAAAGAGACAAAAGGATCTCCAGGAATGAAAGAATATGAAGAGAAATGTGTGACCAATCCAAATGGAACAATATCTGCATTATAGGGGTACCAGAAGAAGAGAGAGAAAAAGGGATAGAAAGTGTTTTTGAAGAAATAATTGCTGAAAACTTCCCCAAACTGGGGGAGGAAATAGTCACTCAGACCATGGAAGCCCACAGATCTCCCAACACAAGGGACCAAAGGAGGACAACACCAAGACATATAATAATTAAAATGGCAAAGATCAAAGACAAGGACAGAGTATTAAAGGCAGCCAGAGAGAGAAAAAAGTTCACCTACAAAGGAAAACCCTTCATCACACTTCTCAACAGAAACCTTACAGGTCAGAAGAGAATGGTATGATATATTTAATGTAATGAAACAAAAGGGCCTTGAACCAAGAATACTGTATCCAGCATGATTATTATTTAAATATGAAGGACGGATTAAACAATCCCCAGACAAGCAAAAGTTGGGGGAATTTGCCTCCCACAAACCACCTCTACAGGATGTTTTAAAAGGACTTCTCTAGATGGAAGCACTCTTAAGGCTAAATAGATGTCAACAGAGAAAATAAAATCACACCAAAGAAAACAGACCAACCAAATACAACCAAAGGCAAAAAATAAAATCAACTATCCACAGAAGCAGTCAAAGGAAACACAAAAGAGTACAGAATAAAATACCTCACATATAAAGAATGGAGGAGGAGGAATAAGAAGGGAGAGAAACAAAGAATCAGCAGGTTGTGTTTATAATAGCTTAATAAGTGAGTTAAGTTAGATGGTTAGATAGTAAAGAAGCTACCATGAACCTTTGGTAACCATGAATCTAAAGCCTGCAATGGCAATAAGTACATATCTTTCAATAATGACCATAAATGTAAATGGACTGAATGCACCAATCAAAAGACACAGAGTAATAGAATGGAAAAAAAGCAAGACCCATCTATATGCTGCTCACAAGAGACTAACCTCAAACCCAAAGACATACAGAGACTAAAAGTGAAGGGATGGAAAAAGATATTTCATGCAAACAATAGGGAGAAAAAAGCAGGTGATGCAGTACTAGTATCAGACAAAATAGTCTTCAAAACAAAGAAAATAAAAAGAGACAAAGAAGGACATTACATAATGATAAAGGGATCAGTCCAACAAGAGGATATACCCATTATAAATATATATGCAATACAGGAGCACCAACATACGTGACACAAATACTAACAGAATTAAAGGAGGAAATAGAACACAATGCATTCATTCTAGGAGACTTCAACACACCACTCACTCCAAAGGACAGATCCACCATACAGAAAATAAGTAAGGACACAGAGGCACTGAACAACAAACTAGAACAGAGGGATGTAACAGACGTCTACAGAACTCTACAGCCAAAAGCAGAAGAATATACATTCTTCTCAATTGCACATGGAACATTTTCCAGAATAGACCATATACTAGGCCACAAAAAGAGCCTCACTAAATTCCAAAAGATTGAAATTCTACCAACCAACTTCTCAGACTACAAAGGTATAACACTAGAAATAAATCATACAAAGAACCAAAAAGGCTCACAAACATATGGAGGCTTAACAACATGCTTCTAAATAATCAATGTATCAATGAACAAATTAAAATAGAGATCAAGCAATATATGGAGACAAATGACAACAACAGCACAAAGCCCCAACTTCTGTGGGATGCAGTGAAGGCAGTTCTAAGAGGAAAGTATATAGCAATCCAGGCATATTTAAAGAAGGAAGAACAATCCCAAATGAATAGTCTAAACTCACAATTATTGAGATTGGAAAAAGAAGAACAAATGAGGCCCAACGTCAGCAGAAGGAGGGACATAATAAAAATCAGAGAAGAAATAAAAAAAAATTGAGAAGAATAAAACAATAGAAAAAAAATCAATGAAACCAAGAACTGGTTCCTT